TATTAAGTTTTATTCAATTATATTGGTCTCAAATTCTTTGTAATTACTACTTTATCCTTAACTAACATTTCATTCTCTTTATTAACTCCATGTAAATATCTGTTAATTAAATTTTACATCTTGTTTGTTGACTCTTACTCTCGTTTATTTGTTTGCTGGGTAATCCTATTTTATATATATTTTTTTTATGAATAAATCTAATTTATTTCTACGAAATCTTGTTGAGAACCGTGATTACACCCGTCAAACTCTCATATTTCCACGGACAAAAATATATATATATATATATATTTAATAGAGAGAAAAATTATGTCAATAGAGAGAAAAATAATAAAATAATTAGTTTGTGTCCATACAATATACATGTTACAAATCAATCACGCCTCATCGATGTGTAGAGGGTATATTAACAAGAAGTTTGCTTAATTTTGAAATGACAAAATTAACATTCTATAAAATCGAATTTGATATACTATTCTAATTAAATGATTGGAATATTGGAAGAAACTAAATATTCTGTAAATTTTATAAATAAAAAATAACGATTCCGATCTCCATAAAGCCGATCTCTATAAAGCGGAGGCAATTCGTGATTGTTTCAAATAACCTTGTGTAATTATAAATATTCACAAATGAGTTGTTTAACTGTCACCAATTAATTAGTTCATTATAAATTTCAAACTGGTAAGATATGAGATGTTTATTCAATTTCCTTCTTCTAATATTCTGCCTAAAATAAATCACTATTAAGTTATTCATAATCTTTATTTTATCAGCGTCAAAGTTGCATCATCATATATTCATGACTATTAACCTCTCGTTTTTATTAATGCAACAATCTAATAAATATTTTGTTGAAATAATTGAGTAAGGTAAGAGCTGCAAACACCGAATTCTTTGAATGTGACAAATTAGTTAATGTAAAACTTGCTTAGACATTAAATATTTATTCAGTTTTCTTCTCTAAATATTCCGTTCAGAAGTAATCAACATTAAATACTGTAGACTTTAATTTTATTAGCTTGACAAACTAGCATTAGATATTCACAACCTATGTTTATTATTTTGACAAACTAGTATTAAAAGATATTAATCACCTTCAATTTGTTAGTTTGACAAACTAGCTTTTTAGGTCATCAAACTTAAGACTTTTTCTCCTCTCGCTAAAAGTATGTTAAATAGGACCACCATATATATCCAAGGCATCAATTATAGACATCTGGATATGTAATTGGTAATGCACTAAATATGTTGCGTCGTTGGATTTGTCAGGTGTCACTCATAAAGAAGTTTTGAAGACATAGAAGACACTAGATAGAGATACCTTTTAATTTATTCATTGAGTTTGATCAGACTGAGACTTAAAAAAGCTTTAATTATCAACTTGCCAACTTGTTGGTCTGACCAGGAATTCGAATCGAGGTGACAGGGAATTTGATATTGAGTGTAACAGGTTTAACTCATAATGACTATAACATATAATAGACTTTGTTGCTAATTCGTACCATAAAAATAACATGATAGTTTAACATTTAGTAGAAGGATGTCTCATGGGATGAGGGACTGTTACTTTTTTATATGGTCCGATCCGAACATGATTTTTTTGAAATATATTATTCACACTCCAACTAAGCACTTGTTATAAAATCCCATCCCAATGGTATTTGCTACTTGACCTATTTAAAACGTTTTTGGGACTACTAGTCTTTGGGTGTCTTCTTTACTCGGGTAAGGTAAAGATTGGATTTTATTCATGAGCATTACTCTAAAGAGTTGTTTGCACTTAAAAAGAGAGTCAAATATTAAATAACACTTCATAATAGGATAGGTGAATAAACGGGTAAACTTGTAATCTAACAGCTCCCTTCAAACTCAAGGTGAGTATGAACTCAACTTGAGATTGAAGGCAATATTATAAAATGACTTAAATTTGATGGAAATGGGTTTTTACCTATGATACATATGGAGGCAAAGTTAACAGCTAACGTGGTAAGTGACGTGACACTACTGCTGACACTATTGCTGACTATGTTGGACATGTCAGCTGTTATGACAGGTGACGTAGCACTATAGTTGGCACTACTGCTGGCTGTGTCTGACATGGCAGGTGGTGTGGCACTACAGTTGGCATCATTACTGGCTGTGTTTGACATGACAATTTTCGTGACAGGTGACGTGACACTGTCCCCGCTATTGATTGGGTCCAAGTATGAAGCATTGACGAGACAGAATTATAGCTTTATTGTCGTGAAAGATGGGACTGATGGTGTCATCCCAGCGGTACCATGTTAAAAATAAAGTAATGAAAAAATATTATATTGCATTGAATTACTGAAGATTACATAAAAATCATATATAAAAAGTGAAAATTTGTAAATAGGTGAGTGATGAAAAAGTAATTGTACTACGTATCAAACCTAGATAAGAGATTAATTAGTAAACTTATAATCTAGCCAAACTCCTGGGATTAAAACATTGGAAGGTTGCTCCACCTCCATTTATATCAAGAATTTAATTTAGTATGTTTGTTAGGAGGAAAAAAATTGAGGAAGTTAAAACTTAAACAGGAATGAGAACCAAGTAGAGTGACCTTGCCAAATTTTTACTATTATTTTTATTTGCAAAACGCGTGACATTGAATTACTAACCCCACTGAAATCAGAATTAAAATTAATATAAGGTGTATTTGATTGATTTGGGTGATTGGATATCTGGGGTTGGCTGCCCCTGTTGACAAGAGTCTCGATTTGCCGTCACTGCCGAAACTTGAAAAGCTTTAGTCTAATTATGTGTCACACTCAACAATATAATAACATAATTGATTCAAATTATTGACTAGTTTCTTCTTGTTACTATATACTACAACAACTCTAGATTAATCAAGGTTTTACATCTCCATGTTTTGTGATTAATTTAATGATTCCGGTTTTCATAGTCCTTTCAACCTTCTTTATTGTTTTTCTGTCCCCAGCTGTACCTTCTAGACACCACTTTCTAAAAGGCTATGAATTGATTCAACTTCATATAACTCGACAAGGTGTCATTCACTGGTTTTGATTCCAATGGAGGAAACATTGTCCTTGGACACCAAACTCCTCTGCTTTCAAGAGAGATTTACTGGGAATTTCGGATTTGATTCAAAGGATGTATTATGGTGACTAACTGGCAATTTTGAATTCGATTCAAAGGATATATTACTATGTTTTTTATTATTAGGATTTTGAGGTTTTCTTATCAACTTTTCTCAAGAATATATATATATATATATACACACACATACATATTGCTCTCAAAAATAATTAATTTATAATTAGTTCTATTAGATTTGCAAAGTCTCTCGCATCATAACTAAGAGGTTGAGAGTTCAAATTCCTTTCCATCGAAGTCAAAGAATTTTTTCGACAATTGTTTGGTGCATGCTAAGTCACATAGAGTAGGAGCGAGAGCGCGGGAGCGGCATATCCTAAAAAATCTTAGAGTGGGAGCGCCGCTAGAACGCCGCATTATAAATATATAAAATATTAATTTATAATAATAAATATATGTGCAAATAAAAAGACAGGATAGTGAATCAAATATGTGCAACCAATATAACCTACTTTATAAAAATGCATAAATTAACAAACATGACAATCAAATAAGCTGTTTTATAAAAATAAAAACATAACAGTGAATAGGGCATAACAGAAAAAGAAATATTCAAAAGTATTGTTTTTTATACATTTAATTTGCTTTAAGCTCTCAAAATGACAATCATTATCTTTGAAATAACAATGTTCAAAAGCAAAAGAATCTACTGCTAAACTTTAAAATAGACGTGAAATATCTAAACTTTCAACCCAAAAGTTAATGAAAGCAAGTTACGTAAGTATTATTAAATATTAAGTATATTGTTATATAACTTATATTATTTGATTTTTATCTATAAAGGAAAGAGTTTACTTAATTAAATTAAATTAATTACTTTTTGACATAATTAACCTTATTTGGTCTATTAAAATTGGGGGTAAAATCAAAATTTCTCAAGATTCACACTAAATTCATAAATTTATTGTCAAAAGTAGTCGAATTCTTGAATAAAATACGCGATTTTACCTTACATAATTCATCGAATTGAACTTTAAAAACCGGCGAATTCTTAAATTGAATTCGCGAATTCAAAAATATGAGAGCGTGAATTTTTGGTGAATTCGCTCTCAAAACGCCAATTCACGCGCAAAGCGATGGAGCGCTAGTGGTTTGAGCGAATTATGTGACTTAGGGTGCATGTGTGATGGAAGGACTATATGCTCTCGTTGATAAATTATGAAATATTTTAAGAGGCTTGACATCACCAATGTGGATAAAAAATATATATATATATAGAATGAAAAATCAACTGTCTTGCTTTCTTTTAAGCTCTAGTTTAAAATTTTATGCCTCACCTTAAGTTTCAATATTAATCATGATATAGTAGTAAAAAGTTAAAAATAAAAAATAAATACTATCTCCAAATGCTAAAGAAACACACTCTAATTGAAAATTTTAATAATGAATTTAAAATAAAAATTAGAAACATACACACACAGGAAAATAGGAAAGGAAAAGAAGTGAAGAAAGAGATCCACAATTTTAGTCGTGGAAAGAAGGGAAAAGAATAATTTAAGTTCGAAGTGCAACTTCTCCTTTTGCCACAAGTAAAGAAAAGGTATCAATGATGCTCACCATGGCTGTGAAAAAGGAATTTTTCACCCTGATATTTCTTTTTGAGTTTTTAGCTGAAATTTGAAAAATTCACAATTAATTTGCAACCACTTGATTCTCTCTCAAACCTGTGTGATGCCTTTTTAACAGACCACCCCAAACTTCAAAACCAACACACGTACTCTATTTGTCTATATATATAATACTAGTATATTATATATACATATATATGACTCTACAGTGGGACCAATTAGACTTTACAACTGCCACCATATATATATATAAGTCATCATATATCATTTAGCCACCATGTTACCACCAAACACACCCACACGGCCACACCCACATAATACACACACATACCTGCTGATATTTCACTCTCCCATAAGCCAAAAACCCCAACCATTCAAAAACCCAATACGTACTTTCTCTCTCTTCTTGTTTTGCCATGAACTCTGTTCATAATAATCTTCTTCTTCAAATTATGTTTTTGTATATGTTCATTCAATCAAATCTCTCTCTCCCTACCAAACAAACAGTCATATTAGCTCTCAAAACACAGCAAATCTCATCTGGGTCACTCCCTAAAGCTCCAAACAAGCTCTCCTTCCACCACAACGTGTCCCTCACCGTCTCTGTCGCCGTCGGCACGCCCCCACAGACCGTTACCATGGTCCTCGACACAGGCAGCGAACTCTCATGGCTTCACTGTAAAAAAACGCCAAACACGCCCTCCGCATTTGACCCGCTTCACTCCTCTTCTTATTCTTCAATCCCTTGCTCTTCACCAACTTGCACGACCCGAACCCGAGACTTCACCGTACCCGTGTCATGCGACCCGAAAAAGCTCTGCCACGCCATTCTCTCCTATGCCGACGCCTCCTCCGCCGAAGGCAATCTCGCGTCCGACACCTTCCGGATAGGGAATTCGGGCCTGCCCGGTACGGTATTCGGGTGTATGGACATGTTTTCTAGCTCCAACACAGAAGAGGACTCGAAGACAACCGGGTTAATCGGCATGAACCGAGGCTCCTTATCTTTTGTAACCCAAATGGGTTTTCCCAAATTCTCGTATTGCATATCGGGTCGTGACTCGTCGGGTGTGTTGTTGTTTGGTGATGCGAGCTTGCCTTGGCTCCGACCCTTGAACTACACTCCAATGATTCAAATCTCAACCCCTTTGCCGTACTTCGACCGGGTCGCATACACGGTTCAGCTCGAAGGAATTAAAGTCTCGGGTAAGTTACTATCTTTACCCAAATCGGTATTCGTGCCCGACCACACGGGAGCGGGTCAAACCATGGTTGACTCGGGCACCCAGTTCACCTTCTTACTCGGGCCGGTTTACACCGCTTTGAAGAACGAGTTCATGAGACAGACACGAGGGGTGCTGAGAGTTTTGAACGACCCGAACTTCGTTTTTCAAGGAGCGATGGATTTGTGCTACCTAGTTGAGTTGAGTCGGACGAGTCTACCGCCGTTGCCGACGGTGAGCCTGGTGTTTCGGGGAGCCGAGATGGGCGTATCGGCGGAGCGGTTAATGTATCGGGTACCCGGTATGGTGAGAGGAGGTGACGGGGTGCATTGTTTCACGTTTGGAAATTCTGATCTGCTGGGTATAGAGGCGTACGTGATCGGTCATCATCATCAGCAAAACGTGTGGATGGAATTTGATCTGGCGAAATCAAGGGTGGGATTGGCTGAAGTCAGGTGTGATCTAGCAAGTCAACGACTTGGTGTGGCCGAATAAAAAAGCTTTTCGTTTATTAGTATTAAATGGAAGGGTATATATGTTTGTGTGTAGTTAGGGACGATTACATTATTATATTTGGGGTTATGGTTGGATCGTTGATCTTGGGGTTGGACCCACTTTGTCCAATGAATGGCCTACCTCGTTGGATAGACTAGAGGTAGTCCGTTGATCGGACATTGTGGTTTGACGAGAAGAGAAGAGAGACCTATCAGAGTGAGAAAATGGGAAATATTAAGTATCAATCAAATCAAATGTACTGTGCCCTTTTCAACTTTGTATTAACTTTTTAGGAAACTAACTAGAAGTACGATGGGAGTCGGTGAGATGGGAATTTTATTTTGAATTTTGGGCAGTGGGCTCACAAAGATTAAATATATATATTTTATATATTTTAAAAAAGAATTTAAATAAATCTCACATAAATTGATAATATTGTACACCATTTTAGTGCATTAATTTGAATATTGTTTGAAGACTTGACTGGTTAAGAAGTCAGAGGCCAGACTGGCGTCTCTAAAGCGCGTTGTCATTAATTTTGTCTTGTCAAGGTCAGCCTTTTTAAACATTTTTGTCTTTTACTCCTTCTATCTCATAAAAAGTATTGTCTTCGCCGTATATTAGTTGCTCGTCTTTGATTTTTTAACTTGGCATGCAATTAATGTATTGTTTTTTTTTTAAATTATCAAATTGTCCTTATTAATTTAAATATATATAGTTACGAAGTTTGAAATTTTTTAAAAAGATAAATAACAATAATAAAAATATAAAGAAAAGATGTTTTGACTTTTCAAAGAAGATAACTAATTTGAGACATGTAAAAAGAGAAAAATATACTATTAATAAGGGACGAAGGGAGTATAGTATTTAGGGTGTGAGTCACGGTTTTCAAAACATGACATTTTTTATAAGAAACACGAGTCACAATTCTTCAAATATGACATTTTTTATAGGACAGAAAGAGTATTTTGTTAGTGCAGAGAATGACATTTCTGTACATTCTAAAATAAATTGTAACACTATAAAATAATAGGCAAAAGTGCAAAAAGAACTTCCTGTAAAAAATAACTCTCTGGGCTACCTTGGATTGCAAATTAATCCCTTATCCATGCAAAATGTTATAAAAAGCACTTTCTCAATTATCGAACCATATTTTTCGATGTTTGTTGATTCATGCGCGTAGATTTTCAACTAATGCCCAACTTACAATTTTGAATTACTATTATTCCCCGACAAAAGTCCAAAACATCTCCTGAACTATTAAGAAAATAAAAAATAACCTCCTAAACCATCTCGAGTTACAAATCAAACCTTGAACTATACAATTTATTTTTGTTATTATTATTATTATTACTACCACTACTACTATTACTATTATTATTAGACATTATTATTATTATTATTATTTGAACTATTTTTTTTTTTGATAATTTATGAGCTTTCATAAACTGTTCATTGGTATATAGATCCATCAAGCAATTAATCAAGTAATTATTATTAGTTGTTTTTGTTACTACTATTATTATTGTTATTATCATATTTTTTTGATAATTTGTGAGCTTGCAAAAATTGTTAATAGGTATATGGATCCCCAAGCAACTAAGCAAACAATTTATTTTTGTTATTATTTTAAATTATTATTATTATTAGTTGTTATTACTCTTGTTGCTAATTCGTATGGTTTCTAATAGTGGTTCACATAACTTGCAACTAAGCAATATTTTTTAATTTTTTTTTACTATTATTATTATTATTAGACAAAATTGCAAAAAAAACACTCCTAAACTATTGGTTAGTTACAAGTTGGCTCCTAAAGGGTATTATGCGTATTGTACACTTTTGATATTTTATAACTTTTATATAAATTAATAAGTAGGGGTATTTAGATAATTTTGATCCTCTGGGCGTTCAAAAATATGATCCGGCGATCGAGAAGTCCTTTTTGCAACTTGAGATAGTCCATGAGTTATTTTGCACTTTTACAAAAATAATAATGTAATGTAATTGCTGCAGAAGTAATGCAAAGTCATTGTATAAGTAATATGAATCGTGTTGCAGAAATGATATAAAAAAAAACAGACGCACAAAGTAACACAAGAAAGAATTTAAAATTGTCCATCATCTCGCAATACATTGTCTTCTTAGATCTACAGAATGATAGTCATTCCGTATATTTAATTTTTGAAGGGGCGAACTCGTTGGAGATTGATCTCTTTATACATCTCCAATCATGCTCAAAACAAATCACAGTTAGCATATGTTTGTCATGATTGATGTTAAAATTCATTTTAAGAGTTACAACTCTTTTTCTCTTAAAAATCAATTTTTTTAGGGGGGTTGATGTTGATTTATGGCCTAAAAATATTAGCAAGTGTCAGGAATCCAAAGTTCATCCATCCCTCCCTCTCTCCCTGACAAATAAAAAAAGAGAAACTCTCCTCCTTCCCAGGGTTTTGGCAACAAAGATACTACTGTGTGTCTGTGTGTGGGATCAATGAAATGATCCCATTGTGAACTGCCATTGTCAGGGGGGCTTTACTGTCTGAGCAAGTGTACTCTGCCATTATTGTCTGATTGTATTGTTTTAACTCTGCTCCATCAGATTCTTCATTGTGACAGCTGTTTGAACTCTCAAGGTACTAAAAAACTAAGAAGAAAATATCTGTGTCTAGCACTCACAAGTCACATATCCTGTATAAAAAGCATTGGGCCTCCACCATTTTAAATCGTTTTTGTAAGTTTATGTCACGTAATATATCTTACAAGGTACCATTACAGATGTGCAGTCCTTGTATCCGAATTTCAAAGTCCAACTGAATCCATAATTTGAATGTTAGTCATCTCAGTTGTGAAGTTAAAATGTTTAGGGTTCTGGCTCTTGGTTGTCAACACTTGGAATCTTATGAATGTGGATAGATTTTAATTCGGGAAAGTACAAATGACCTTCAAGATTTTTCATCCCTTCACGTGTTTGGACATTAAAGCAATCCTTAACATGCTAAAGTATCGGATTTGGAATAGTGTTGCTGGTCTTGGCACAACGGTAAGGTTTTTCCATTGTAATTTAAAAGTCGATTTTTCCATTGTAATTTGAAAGTCATGGTTCGAAACAGAAAGAGGTAAGACTGTTGTATCTAACCTTTGTCAGATCACACGATGGTGGTGGGAGCCTCATGAACTAACTAGGCTAGGCCTTTCAAAAAATATCAGCTTAGGGTCTGGAAAAGTAGTCTTCTGATGGAGCAACTGCATCAGGTTTGGCTAACCTTCCAATTATGTTAATAACACCTCCATTTCCATATAGATCAACTGCATCACACATTTTTCTGAATTTTCAGCAACCTGGTTTGGTAAATAAAATCATCAAATAAGATTAAAACCAACAGATAGAACATTACCTCAGCAAACCAGACTAAAGAAAAGTGTTCTACACCTTTTCACAGTTCCTCACGAGTACATGTCAACCGGATAACAAGAACTAGTAATAAAGAAGAATTTACTCGGTTTTTCTTCGGATTCTTACAGCCGATATCAAAATTAGTATATACAAATAGAACCTAGCATTTTCAATTGCTTAAGGGCAATATATTACAAATTTACACAACATAAATGTAAAATTTCAGGCAGATAATATTTTACAATTTACAATTAAAACTTATACTCGGTCCTCATAGAAGATTTCAGCACAACAGCCGCTTATTTAAGAAAAGAAACAAGACAAACAAGTGTGAATAACATAATAAGAACATCATATATTAGACACTTATAATACCATTGTAAACTGATGAAGGGAACTCCAAGAAGTCTAAAACTAAATCTCGTGAAATCATATGGAATAATTGACAATACATTCCGTACCTGTCTAAAAAACCCATCTTGTTTACAAACCACACGTTGTCCAACCAAATCCAATTCTCTCTTTATACGTTCCTCAAAAAATCTGATTCGTGTGGATTCTTCCCACAACAAACGAAGAGATGTTGGCTGAATTGCCACATATGAAATTGAAAACTCAGTGCTTATGAAGACATAAGAATCCAATGTTTCTTGTGTAGATAATCTGAAGAAGGCACAACAAGCAAATGCTTCTTCAGCAGTGAATAACAGAAATTTATGAGCTGTATTCATGGTAGAGCAATCAAATTCTCATGCACGGTGCAGTACACAAAGAAATCAATCAATGCCCATTTACATAACCCTAATTATGTACTCATAAAATGATGAATATCATGAGCCAAGACATGCAACTGATCAAAACTATTGTGAGTGCCAAAATCAGCAATGACAATCATATGTGCAAATGCTATATTAATAAAGCTACCAAAAGTGTTTTATGCCAACATTGTCATAAATCATATTCTGAATTGCAAAGTGAAGATCATCTGCTTTAAAAAAGCTAAGTTCCGACATTAACTGTTCAATTCCGAGATATATATATATATATATATATATATATATATATATATATATATATTTCCTGAGGTTGATCCTGTACCCTGGTGTGCCAAAGTACCCTAGAAAATCAAATTTAAATTTTGAATTGTGACTCCCCAAATAATTAGAACTCCTTGATGTAGCTTGCAGATTAAACTAGACCTTAACTTTGGTTAGGGGGTGGTTCGAGTGTCACTAGCTTAACTGCTGATTCCAATCATTCAATTGTTTGAACTGATTGCTATAAGTAATATGGACAAGGGTTTACATGCAAAGTTATATTTGTAAAAGCCATTAAAGGGCCGGAGAAGACTGGAAAACTAATTCCTGATATTATTTTACACAAAGTAACTATGCTCGCAGATATGAACCTGAATTCTCGTACTTGTCGAGAGAACTTTTACCGTTGCATCAAATAACTTTACCCTTAAGCCAAATTAATATAGATAGATATTGTGGTAGAACAATGTAAACTAATAGTGATGTATAAAGAAGCCATATCAATTACCTGGGTTAACGTTGGAACAAGCTAATTCTGAAAATTTAGTAATATAGATAGATATTGTGGTAGAACAATTAATATAGATAGATATTGTGGTAGAACAATGTAAACTAATAGTGATGTATAAGGTTGATATGATGGTGAAAGCTTACCACTTTACAAAAGGCCAACCTAATGTGATTCCATCTAGGGTGCTTGGAAAGATCCAAACGAAATACATACCTAACATTTGACATTATTTGTACAAAGTGAATGTCTTCAGACTTGACTGAGCTCTCGCATATGCCAATCCTAACTTTCACCGCTTTATTAAGAAATTGCCCCACTTACAGTCCCACCATCAACTCAAAAACACGGGATATGATTTAGGTATCATGATGGACCGATTACTATCCTGGATATTATTTTTTAAACTGTTCATACAAGAAGAAAACTGTACAAAGGGAATGCAGCATACCCTATAGGCCTACGAAAAATCGGCCTCAGCCCAGAGGCAAGGTTGGGACATTAGTTATCTAATTTGGTATTACCATGGACTGATATATAACTGCGCATTACAATTAGATGCATTTTCATTGTTGTCTCTTCCAAATGTATTTTCATTGTCAGAAATACAGTATGGACTGATATATAACTGCACAGTACAATTAGATGCATTTTCATTGTTGTCCCTTCCAAATGTATTTCCATTGTCAGAAATACAGTTATGTTTTCAA